CAGAGAGGCAATGAGACACAGTGCAGTGCAGTGCAGACAGTACGTTCTGACGCGGTTCTGAGTGAACTGGTTCTACTGTTAATACCACTGCTACTGATACTCTTATCTTCTTCTTGTCCATCATTATTTATTGAAATGAATTCATAATTTTAAAGGAAATGCATTGTTTGTGCTGTATCCGTACTGATCACTTCATCTTTATCGTTTCTCGAAACATCGGCTGCTGCTGGGCGATCTGTGACTGGCATCGCGGGATGTGGTTATTGTTCTGGGTCACCAGATTGGTATGCGTTTATTGCCTGGGATTCCCACCCCCCTCAGCTACGCAAACTGAACATCCTGCGACTGTGAGACGCAGGCCTCCACCCACGCAACAGGATTCCGCAAATGTGCAGACTTCTTTCTGAATGAAGAGGTATAGCACGATACGCAGTAGGAGAAACCCGTAAAGAACGCCTCTGGAAGCTCTCCCAGTCGAAAGAACCGACCAGTTTAGCTCAGCCTGTGCCCCGGATTTGGCTTCATCCAGACGAGACGTCACGACATGCGCTTGGAACTTACTTGAAACCTCACCGTCGCTCAGCTGCTCAAGAAGGGAAGCCGTCACTGCCTCACCTTGCTCAAGGATATCAACAACTAGCCCCTGTCTTGAGCCAGTTGAATGCAGTCTATAATCTCACAACTGCTTGAATAAACTCCATCGCCGAGGGGTAAGGCTGCACAGTCTCTTAGGAAGGTGCTTGGTTCGAGTCTCGCCCGCGACACCAGCTATCCTGGCTGAGATCTTCCGTTGCTTTCTTCAGTATCTGCAGGAAAATTCTGGGCGAATAACCGTATCAGGTCAAGACGACCTCCTTCCAACTCTCTTGCAATTCATCATACATCTGTTATCATACCTTTCGAGTCTGAGTATGATATACCAATAGGTACAAGTGGAACGGAAGAAAGATGACATTCTGCAAGCTATGGATAGTGCAGGGCTGGGACCACACGGAGTGCAAGAGGGGCTCAAGCGACATATGGAACCGGCGAGACGTCAGACAGACGGTATAAAGCTGTAACAACCACCAGCACGTAGTCCAACTATTACTATTACAGTGTTTCAGTCCTTGTGGTGGCCGGTCGCGACCCACCGGTTGCCGATTATGCCCTCCTAGCAACAAGGACCAAGGCCCTGAAAGCTATGGCTGCAGTTACGTAATGCAAATCCTTGAGCGGGCGGTCCCTCGCCTGCAGAGCCGGGGGGCAGGCCGCTTCTGCACAGAGCTCACATTGAAGGAAGCTTATGGTCGCTCAACTGGCAAACAGAATCTACAGACTCGTATGAAACGCGCAGGTTCATTACCGTCTTCACAACAGCCAGGCACAAGTTACTCCTCTGAGACCAGTTTATTATGGTCCATTTTCGTCTACGTCTAGATCTCCCAAGTCTTCTGTTCCTTTCAGATTTCCCCACAAATATCTCACTTACTCCACGCGTGTTACGTGTCCCAATGTGTCGCTGCAGAGTGATGGAGGATATGCAACCTCCGGCAAGCAAATCCTGGGGCCACTCTTCTTTAGCCCAACACAAGCTCCTGGGCTGTGTCATGAAGCCGTCGAGTTAACTTCTGGCCTATGATCGGTGCAATCATGAGTAACCTGAGGGAGAACGGAATCCTTGTACGGCGCTTCGTCACCAGAACGTTAGGCTCAGTCATGACATTAAGGTGTTTAATGCAGTCTTTGGAAACAGAGCAAAGTTCAGACACTTAGGAACCATAGTAACAATATAAAATTGCATTCACAAAGAAATTAAGAGATGTTTAAATTCGAACAGTGCTTGTTACGATTGGGTTCACAGTTTTTGTCTTCCCGTCTGCTACCTAGATACAGAAAGACTGAAATATAAAGAATTGTAGATTCTAAAGGGTTCTGATGATGGTGGATGACACACAGAATTACTGGGGTTTTGAGCTTTATCCATCGCCCGGAATTTTAGGTAAGAGAGGACACGACGTTTCGGAATCTGGAGTCCAGTGATTGAGATTAGCTCTTTCTAAGGGGCCCAACTGAGTAGGTGTCTCCCTTTATCACCTGAAGAAAACAGATTCAGTTTCCGAAACGTCTTGTCCTCTACTACCTAAAATTCCGGATAAGGGGAAAAGTCGAAAACCCCAGTAATTCTGTGTATAAAAAATTGTACTTCGACCTTTTGTTTCATGTGGGTGTATTTAGCGCTGAAGGAAGACGCTGAGGACAGGGTGTTCAAGGGAAGAAGCCACAGCACAGTGGGGGACTTGCACAACGACAACTTTACAATTTATGCTCTTCTCCAAACATTAGACCGTAAGGTCGCGAAATGTTTGCTCATTAACAGCAAACAGCGCCAGAGGAACTGAGGCTGAGAGAAGATGTTCCGTCCCACTTCTCCTAACCAGAGCCGGGTTAGCTCAGACGATATAGGCACTGGCTACGCGCTGGGCGATGGAAGGTGTCGGAGTTTGAATTCCGCTAACGTCAAAAATTATCTCTTCTCAACCCAGTCCAGACCTGTTCTGGGGCCCAACCAGAATCTTAACCAATGGGCATCGGGGTCTCTTTTCCCTTGGGTAAAGTGACCGGAGCGTGAAGCTGACCATTTACCTCTAACTAGTGCTGACTTCAAGGTAAAGTGGATAACACAGCCACTCCACCATACACCTTCATGGTGCAGCGTTTAATCACTTAAGCACGGGGACAAATTTAGCTTTACGTAAGGAGTGACTGTCAGACTGTAATTAAGTGTCTAGTCGTTTACATGGTAGATCCTGCACTGAAGTTTAATAACCTCATTTCCAATGTAACATAATTTTTTTCCTTGGCGCTACAGCCCCAGTGGGCCTAGACCTACCTCCATGAACTTCTCCGTTCACTTCGGTTTTTCTCGATCTTACACATTCGGTATGACCCCTTGGGCGGGTGATCAACTCATCACAAGGCCTCTACCTGTGTACAAACACAGAAAAACGCACACACACACACACAAACTAAACATCTATGCCCTGAGTGGGATTCGAACCCACGATCCCGGTTTCCAAGCGATCGAAGACAGTACAGTAACATAATTTTAGACATAATTAATGCGTTGCTTTATTGCTAAGGGACTAATAAGAACTTAATTATTTATGCAATTAATTTTATTGCAGTGAGAACTATTTACATTTGTTTTTGTAGATCTGTTTATTTCTTAATATCTTCCGAATAAGGTTATTGCAGTCTGGCTTGTACTCCGTGCAGCTCGAACAGCTGGAAGACGCGAGACATGCAGACAGCGGTTCAGTCTGCAAACTTAAAAACAATTCACCATTTATCAGAACTTGACGTATCTGGTAGAATATTATTAAAGTTCATCACAAAGAAATATGACCCGAGAAACACGTGAACTGGATGCATCTGGCTGAGGACAGGAAGCAGATGCAGCTCTTGTGGCCACGGTATTGAACATTCAGGTTCCACATAATGCAGGGAATTTTTGAGTAGCTAAGTGACTGTTAGCCTCTTAAGAAGGATGTTCGCTAAATTAGTCAAAAAATATTTAAACTTGAATTAATTTAACATTTTAACAAATGTTCTTCTCTGGAAGTTAAGTCCATGCATAGATGAAATTATTGGGGATTATCAGTGTGGGTTTCGACATAACAGATCAACTACTGATTCATCAGATACTGGAGAAAAAATGTGAGTACAATGAAACAGTACATCAGCTATTCATAGACTTCAAGCAAATCTATGATCCAGTTAGGAGGGAAGCATTGTACAATATTCTGACAGAGTTTGGGGGTACCCATGAAATTAGTCAGGCTCATTAAAATATATTTAAAAGAAGCGTACAGTAAAGTCCGTATAGGCAGATATTTGTCTGATAATTTCCTTATCCAGAATGGTATAAAACAGGGAGATGCTTTATCGCCACTCCTTTTCAACTTTGCTTTAAAATATGCCATTAGGAAGGTAAAAGAAAACCAGGTGGGACTGAAATTAAATGGGACACATCAGCTGTTGGCCTATGCCGATGATGTGAATCTACTGGCTGATAATACAAATACCACAAAGCAAACACACAAACTCTAATTGACGCAAGTAAAGAGGTTGGTGTAGAAGTATACACAGAGAAAACTAAGTATATGTTGCTGTCTCGTCACGAAAATGCAGGGCAAAATCATGACATAAAGACAGCTACTAGATCCTTTGAAAATGTGGTACATTTTTAATATTTGGGAACTGCAGTAACAAATCAGAATTTGATTCAGGAGGAAATTAAGAGGAGATTGAACTCGGGTAATGCTTGCTACCATTCAGTGCAGAACCTTTTGTCTTCTCGTCTGCTGTCCAAAAACATAAAAATTATAATATACAAAATTATAATCAAGTCAAGGGTTCTGTATGGATGTGAAACTTTCTCTCTGACATTAAGGGAGGAACATAGGCTAACGGTGTTTGAGAACAGAATGCTGAGAAGAATATTAGGACCGAAGAGAGATGAAATGATGGGAGGTTGGAGAAAACTACATAATTAGGAGCTTCATAACTTGTAATCTTCTCCAAGTATAATTAGAATGATCAAGTCAAGGAGGATGAGATGGGCATGTCATGTAGCATGAATGGGGAGACGAGGAATGCATATAGGATATTGGTGGGAAAGTCAGAAGGAAGAAGACCACTAGGAAGACCAAGACGTAGGAGGATAGATAATATTAAAATGGATCTTAGAGTAATCGGATGCGATGATATGGATTGGATCGATCTGGCTCAGGATAGGGACTAGTGGAAGGCTCTTGTGAACACGGCACTGAACCTTCGGGTTCAGTAAACTGCTGAGGAGTTCTTGAGTAACTGTACAAGTGGTGGCTTCTTAGAAAGGTTCAGCTCCATAAAGTTAGTAAGTCAAATTAAACTCAAGTTTTTTTAGTGCAATTTTCTCCAGACGACGACTCGGTGGCTATGTGCGTCGTTTGAAATCGATTCTGTCTCTGTTGCAGGTACATCCACTCAAAGGAGAAGCCGTTCAAGTGCGGTGAGTGTGGCAAGGGGTTCTGCCAGTCGCGGACGCTGGCCGTGCACAAGATCCTGCACATGGAGGAGTCCCCACACAAGTGTCCGGTGTGCAGCCGCAGTTTCAACCAGCGCTCCAACCTCAAGACACACCTGCTCACGCACACCGACATTAAGCCCTACAATTGCTCTGCGTGCGGCAAGGTGTTCCGGCGCAATTGCGATCTGAGGCGTCACAGCCTTACGCACAACCTGGGGGCGGCGTCCACCTCCACCCCGACGCCCGGCACCTCCGGCCTGGCTCTCGTGTCTCCGAGTTTCAGCATCGACTCAATCATGAGCGCGAGCAGCAAGTAGGGGACCTCGCCCCGCGGCGTGGCGGCAGTCGCGCGACCTCCTGCCGGGCGTCGCAATCCCGGGCGAGCGGCGAGCCGCCCCGGAATCTAAAGACTGTATTGCACTGTGCTGATATTATTCTGTTTGTTTCTGCGTTTGCAATAAAACACTACACGTTCATGCGTGTGTTTTAGTTTCTCTTGCAATTCCAGGGGGGGCAGCAGCGTATGCTGGAGGTGATCTCCACACTCTCTTGATGATGATTGAGATGATGATGATGATGATGATACCTAGCTGATGGTCTGGATTTTTTGCGATAAGACTAAGTTTACTCCAAGACTAGACTGTGAATATGCTCCCACCAATACGAGAATCAGGGCGCCGTAGATGCGACGGAGAAATTAATTTTGTGGTTGGAGTTCATAAGTTGTAAAGTGCAACAAGTGAGAGAAATGCATATAGGACGGGCAGACTTAGATGTACGTGGTATGATAATATTAAAATAGATTTCAAGTTAATAAGATGTGACAGTGTGGGAAGGCTCGGTTTTGGTCTCTTTTCAACACATTGGAGGAATTTCCTCTTCCATTAGAGCGACTCCTGCTTCTAAAGAGGAATTGCCCCAAGAAGTTGTTTACTTACTTGGTTTCGTACCTCCCGAGTCTCGAGTCTCGTCTCATTCATATTTATAAGAGTCTAGTCCGTACCTCGCAGGAAACACATTACGTCTCCGCTACAGATCTCAACCGGTTAATGCTGTTTAGGGAAACAGTCGCTGTTTCCTGTGAGATACCTGCGGAATACACATCAGAATAACGTCAGAATCTGTGGGCAGAATACATATTCCTTGAATGTTAAAGCAGGTGGTACGTATAGTTACCACTATGCTTTACGAACTACGTTTGCTACCTCTATAGCTGAAACTTCGCAAGACCGAGTGCCCACAGCACTCGGAGTTGTATTTGTGTCGCCAAGCAGCAGGCCGTGTCTAAGGAACCCCCGTGCCCTTTTGTGCGCGTGTGGTCTTTGCAGTTCGTCTTGTGCGGCCCCTGGAGGTGTCGATGCGTGCACAATAAGGGGCTTACACTTCACAGCATCCAATTTACAATGAAATAATTCTGTGGGGGAATCTCTTGAAAAGCGGCCAAGCAGCCGATCCAAAGATAATATTAAAATGGATAGTTTCCGAGGATTTAAACAGGTTTGATTCGCCTCAGCGAGGCCTTAGCATCAGCGGATGTTGAGTAGATGGGCGCAACAGTAGGACCCTCCAGCAAATTTAACGCATTGCTTTCAGATAATCTAAGTATCTCTCATACAAAAGATGCAGGGGCTAGACCTCCGTGAGCTGGGGCGGAAGCTTGTATCAAGTTTCGAAAGCAAGCAGATTGTTGCCTGCTGGCCATATTGTATTCTTGTGCATCAACACTAGGGTTCCAAAGGAATCAGGCGCTTCTCTCTTTAAGGACGTCATGATTAGGGTGAAGATGTGGCCATGTTATGTAGGCAAAGTGACAGAGAACCGAAGAAGGGCAGAAGAAATGATCTCTCATTCTATTACTTCTGTCCTGAAGATGGAGGGCAGCATGTCTTCCGAAAGATTTGTATTCACCTGTAAGACTGCTCAGTGTCACACCCGAGAACACCGCTCAGCGCCATGAAATCTGTGCTATTGGCTCTCCTGCGGGTGGGCCACTGTCCTCTTGGACGGCACTTTACAGCCCACGTAGGACACCGACTCGTCGCCTATGCCAGACAAATCCAATCCACGCCCTTACATCTTATTTCTCTAAGTCCATGGAGGAGAATTCTGCTTTAGAAACTAACAGGAGAAATGTCCCACCCTTTTCGTAACCCGGAGGTTTATTACTCCGTTCACAAGAGCCCTCCTATTATCTTTGTGCCTATGCGTGCCTCCCGCCAGCCCACTCTACAACCCAAATTTAATTCCCTAACCGAAAGCTGCGGTTGGCACGCCTGCACCGTATTCAGAAGATCTCGAGTTCTAACTTATGCACGGATTGAGATTTTCGTGGGTTTCCTCAGTTCATGCAGATACGTTCGGGAATAGTATTTCTATATAGGCAACGACTTCTTCATTGCACATCTTCACAGTCGCCTCGCCCCACCATTCAAGATGATAACATAGCTCATGCAGCTGAGAGGACGTCGTTACGTGAGCAGTATTTAAAGCAATCACCAGAGCGAAAACGAGGCTGTTAGACGCTGTGACGAAGGAGCAGAACTGCCGACGTCTCGAAGGTTGCTGGCAGATTTCTGATGGCCTAAAGGCAACCCCTGCAGCACAAATTGCACACTGAGATGCTACTTCATATATAACGATTCAGTTCGTACCTCACAGGGCACACACACTGCGTCTTGATTACAAACACAATTAGGTTAATTCCCTTTGGAGAAAAAAAACGTTGCGTAAGAAGAGCATAAAATTCAGACTTCTTTAACGTTATAGCAGGTGGTAGCTATATTTAGTTATCATTGTCCTTTGAAGGGCTGTCTGGTGAGCCTATAAAAGTTGCATTACAGTACGGTAACTGACACAAACATATTTTCAGAAGTGGTTAGAAACACCAATCCTAAATAATAACTAAAAATGAATTTCCTCTCTCACAGAAGACACGTTGAATCTCCATTACAAAAAAACAAAATAATTGAATTCTACTTACGAAATTAATTGCTGTTTGTTGTGAGAATCACACAAAACAAACAAATAACCTTTGTGGGCAGAATACAGTTTTCCAAAAAAAAAACGTACATATAGTAACCGCTGGGCTTTAAAGGGTTCGTTTTTCTTACACCGTCACGTGTTCAAGACCTGTTCGTTCGTGTATTAGAATCTACATATTTATATTGGAGATCGATTGCTTAAAAACAGTAATACTAATATAGAACTAAGGGACTTTGTTTCACCGCATTACTACAATTATGTTCGTTTGCTGTCGCCATTTTGTTTCAATTTAAATAACTTCCTGTGCACATTCCCAAACAAAACATTCTCGCAGTGTCCACAGAGAAATGTACACAGACCCTGCCCTGTGCAAATGTTCTCTTCCCGGTAACAAACCTCTGGGTCCCATCGAAGGTGGGGAATTTCTTGACTAGCTGAGCGACTGTTAGATTCTAAAGAATAAAATTATGCAGGGGAGGAGTAAAAACTACACCCAGACGCTCGCTAAATTAGTCGCGGAAGGGGGGGAGGGAATATGGCTCCAGAAGGAGTTTCCTTGACGATTCCAGGAACTTCAGTGCTATGTGTGCAAGACAGTGTTAAGTGTCTCTCGTCGCTGTACCTTTGGTCCAATGGTTCAGATTTGTGACGTGCCCCTAACGACACTGTTGCGTGAAGCTTATGGTTTCATTGCAGAATCCGGACGGTTCTGAGAAGAATGAAGTCCTCAGTTTTGTTCTGGGCCTGGGTAACTCGATCAGTGTAGTGTTTGCGCTATAGGCTGGACGACCGGACTTCGATTCCCGGCAGGGGCTGACACTTTCTCTTCTCCACCGCGTCCAGACCAGCTCTGGGATCCATTCAGCCTCCTTTCCACTGGGTATCGGGACCCTTTCCGAAAGGGTTAAGAGGCAGAGGCGTGAAGCTGACCAATCATCGCTATCCAGAGCCGAGATTAAGAATGCATGGAGCCGTATCTCCACTCCACCACACGTCTCCAAGGTGTGGTGCTTTATTAAGCAATAAGATAACCGTACCTTTAGATCTGCAATGATGACAGCTGGTTATGTATGGGATGTCTTCAGTTGTAATTGAACGTCGACGTTACCACTGCTGGCTGACTTTGTAGGCCTTTCTCAAGGCCGATAGCTGAAGAGGTCCAGAGGCCTCGTAATGGTAGTCGCTAGTTGTCCTAACAAATGTTGTTCTTGTTTTTTCCTAGTCCCTTCAAGCAAAGGCTGGCACATTACCTCGAACAGGTCATGACCATTTCCTTCCTAATCCTTTCCAATTCATTTTTCAACAACCACTCTACCGTTCAGCGCTATATAGTCTGGAAACTGACAAAGTTGTTAACTAACCTGAAAAAATTAAATGTGCCTCCGTAGACATGAAAACACAGGGAACGGAGATAATTACTTACCAGAGAGCTTACTGACCGCCAAGTGACAGTTGTCGTACGGCCACTTGAGAACCGGGAACACGTCCCAATGCCAGGCATTTGTTGCGCCTGTGAAGAGCGTCGAGCAGCTGACAGCATCCATTTCACCGCTCTCAGTATCCATGTAACAGATCCGTTATTCAATTTGGACCGGGTTTTCATATGTTCTCGGGGACCCGCCCCACGAAATGAGGGCCTCAAATCGGACGCGGCGAGCCGGAATGCTGTGTTGCGGCAGATGTGCGCGGTAGCTTACTGCCAGCGTGTCTACCCCGGAGTATTATAATCCAGACACAAAGCCACTTCCATGTTCTCACGGCGTCACCGCCAGCGTCACTCCACCTTAATTACAGACTCAGTAGAAAGCTTAACCCTTTCGATGAAGATGGTAATTATATGTACCATCTGCTTTAACATTCAGAAATTCTGCTTTTGCCTACAAAATATGTGTGTGTTTCGTATGTTTCTCACGATAAACAGCGACTCTATCCCTAAACGGCATTAACCGATTAGTCTCTGTAACGGTGACGTAATGTGTTTCCTGTGAGGTACGATCCGAATTAAATATATTAATTATATAAACTTCAAACGGTTAAATTAGCCACGGCGCAACTAACTTCATGGAGCAGACCTTCATGAGAGGCTTGCAGTTGCTTAGATAGCCACAAAATATTTCGCTTCTTACGGAACCCGAAGGTTCATAACCGTGTTCACAAGAGGCCGCAATCAACCGGTCTCTGTTCTGAGCCGAATGAATCCAGCTCCAGCGTTCACATGATATTCCTTTAAGATTGAAGTAAATATCATTTTACCATCTACGCTTAAGTCTTTCAAATTTGTCTCTTCCTTCCGGCTTTTCCTACAAACAGTTCTAACTATCCTCCTTCAGTTGAACCTTCCAATGAAGCAGCTCATTAGGCAATCCTCCCGATCGCGCCTGCACTTCGTTAGGACGGGGCGCCGGCAGGGTAAGGCGCACAGACCGGCCCTGACAGACGCTATAAACAGGACAACGCACGGCCCGGGCGATCTGTATTCTGGCGGTTTTATGGG